TTAGCACAAGCAGCACCTTCCTGGCACATGGTCAATCTGTATTTTTGTAGCATCTGAATATGATCAACATGTGTTCTATGGGAGTTTTCAGCCTAATTTTCTGCCCCAATCAGATATACTCAAACTTCCTGATGTTTAAAAAGCAATACCTCAGCATTTCAGACAAGCTACTTTGCAACTGAATCTCAATCCCAAAAGTAAACAAAGAAAACCTTACTACTAGCCTAGAACAATGGCTAATGCTAATCACCATGATGCGTGTCAAGTCCAGAACGCTGTGCCTTTTTGCATCTCTATGATATTCTCCTAACAAGCAGAGTCCCAGACACTGTTCTGGGTGGCTTCTTAGTTTCTTTGACAAAGACAGAGCAAGTGCTACTTGCTATGTTAACATCTTTCTTAACATATTGCAGAAAATGTCACAGATAGCTCATTGTCATGCTTGTCTGCCAAACTGGATCAAGGAAAGAAATGCATGATGGATTTCAAATTTAAATGCCAAACCTTATTCCCCGATGCATCCTTCCCCTTCCCTTCTTCTTCTACATGGAATCGGAGGTTTTCCAGGAGGATGACGGAGCCAGCTGGAGGATCAGCACAAGCCTTCTCCACTTCTGGACCCACACAGTCTTTCAGGAACAAGATCTCCCTGGAGTCATAAATCAAGATTTATCTCACCGACATCTTAACTTTTCAAAAGTCCATCCATGCTGCACAGCTATTATACCATACCTGTCCATTAGTAATTTGAGTTCCACAGCCACTGGGGCCAAGGAAAACTTTTCAGGCATAGGGACTCCATCAGGCCGGCCCAAATGACTCATCAAAACCACAGACTTGGCTCCATGATCCAAGCAGTGCTTGATGCTAGGGACAGCTGCCTTGATTCTGTAAGAGCAAGGAAGGCAAAAGAAGATAAGTTGGAAAGAAACACAGCTTGAGGTGATATGGGGGAAATGAGCTAGGTGGCCATAAAGCTGAAGGCAATTTTTACTGGCATATCCACTGGGTGTCATCTCTCACAAAAATGAAGACACAATAGGAAACATTCTGCTCTTTTATTTCTTTATTTGATCCCCTTATAACATAAAGCATTGCCAACAATACTACACCAAACAGGACAAACAGTAAATCTGAAACAGATATAGGTTAAAATGTTTGGTATGAACACTGACAAACATAAAAGGAAGAGCCTTACATGAGGAAGTAATCCAAGCTTCTCCACTCCCAGTGACAGTGATGGCCATTATGGACAGGTGCTTGAGGACTACAGAATGCAGCTACACAACTGGCTGCAAGAAGCCAACTACCAATGCAAACCAGTGCACTGATGCCAGTACTTTTCTTACACATTTTTCAATTGTTCCCCTTTTGCTATCTTCTATTACAGTAAAATGAGTATAGTGAAATGGAGTTAAAAATGAGTGGAGACACTAGGATTTTAGCAGTAATGCCATTGCTAAGGCTGAAATAATAGCAGAAATGGCAGGCTTAATATAGACAAGGTTAGCACCTGCCAGGAGATGAGTAGGTAAAAGGATGAACCAGACAAGCTTTTTTTTCTTAATGTCCTTAACCAGCATTTTCTGGCCTGCCAAGGCCTACCAAGCTAACGTGTTGAACAGTTCTATAACCACAGAGTAACCATTTTCAAAACACTGAAGGCAATGGGGGGAGGCAGGTATTTACTACAGCTGGTTTTAACAGAGAACTTTAGTAGAAAGTGTTTGCAGTAGCCATAATGTATCAATTAGCCTTCCTGGAGGGAATCAAGAGGACACCATAGGTAACCACAAGGATGTTTCCACCATTGCTCAGCATGAACCACATAGATAAAACATGGGCCATTACACGTACAGGGGTTCGAGACTTCAACATAGAACCTAAAGTGGTGCCTTACCTTTGGTTGTTTGTTATTTTGTTGTCTTTCATTGGAACGTTGAAATCAACCCTAAAAGATGAGTAAAGATAATTATTAGTATTTAAATGGACATGACTAATTTCTTTTAGGAAGACCTGGGGCCCTTGCTGATCATAGGGCTGACTAGAAAGGCAATCCAGTCAGTTCAAAGTTTTCACTTCTGCTTTTACGAACAAGCCTATTATGAAACCAATTATACTTGACACCTTTTATGTCAAAGCAAAGGGGAGGGAGGGAGATGAAGCTATCCAAATATAAGGGCAGGTAGGTGCCCACTAACTTCTAACGGGAGTTGGGCACCTTTTGAAACAGGAGTTGGGCACGAGGCCTGCATTGGCGAGGTCAACCGGTGCTTACGC